TCACGCGCGTTAAGTTGCATATTCACGCTCGGTGGCTGTTGCCCACCACGTCGATTGTAACGACACTTTACAAACGATAGCCTAATGTGTGCTGGCACCTGATGTGAAAGCTTTTTGTGGGGCATCGAGCGGCTTGACCTTCAGAGGTCGAAAGTTAAGCGTTAAATGACATCAAGTACACGTGATATACCACCCGATCTGGAATGTTACGCAGATTCCAGAACGCGTTCAAAATAGTTCTTACCCAAATAGGTCGAAACATATTGCTGATTGTCTTACAAATGATCAGCTTTTCGCGTAATACTTTATAGTGTGTGCTCTAGAGGTCACAGAATACCAGATGGATATTTTACATGGACAAATATAAAACACGATGCCGGATAAGCAGGGTAAACTGATATGTTGAAACCGATCTAAGCGTCTTTTATTCAGATGTACACTGAAATGTCATTAAAGTTTCGAGAGGAATAAAGTAAGGCTACCTAAGCAAAATTGATATCATATTAGGTCGGATATCATATACATATCATATAAAATTGATATCATACAAAATTGATATCAAAATTGATATCATATTGCAGGTTGAGCCTGCAAAAATAAATGTAAATGACATCTTTTCAGGCTTATTTGACATTGATCCACATGATCTGGAAAATCCCAGCCCCTTCAATTTTCGTTACAATCGCAAAAATGCGAAACATCCTAAATAACGTGTAAAAATTATCGGGTTTGTGCGGAGCATAAAAAACCTGTAGCTTTTCAAAGTTACAGAAACCAGCACAGATATTTGCTGCACACAATGGCAGCGCATGATGTAGAATGATAATAGTAGAGGTAAGGTGCTAGGGTGAGGTGCTAACGTCCATTTGAGGACCATCTAGCCTGTCATCATGGCTGTCTGCTACCGTCCGCCAGACGCTGGCCGTAATGTGAATCCGATCGCTACCTTCTTCCAGAACATCCGCTCCGCCAATCTGCCGTTACTCGCTGTGGACGACTTGAACTTGCCTGAGATTTGGTGGCTGGGTGATGGCGACGAACCTGCTCTACTCAGGCGCACCGTCAGAGCCGTCAAATTCCTCGGCTCTGTCGCTCAGTGCGAAGCGGTGCAATCTGTAACGTCATCGACGCACGGGGAGAATATCCTGGACCTCGCCATCTCCTATGGCGGAGCTGCTGTATCTGAGGTCGGCGACGGTATATTCAACTCAGACCACCGTATGGTAATGTCTCAGTCATCTGTAAAATGGTGGCCGGCTCACCCGTGCCTCCCGATCTAAGGCTATCAATTACACGCAGGCAGATTTCGACGGTCTGTACACTGCTCTCGCGCTCATTCATTGGCGTATTTTGAATGATTTAAATGTTGGTGGTGCTCTCCCCCTGTTCTATGATCCTGTGTTCGCCGCCACCGCAGACTTCATACCTGTCTTTGGGCTCCGAGAGAAATTTCCTCCGCGGTTTGACCGGTCCGTTCGAGACTTACTGCGTGAAAAGAATATGGCTCACAGACGTAAGAAAGCGTTTCCGACCGGCGAAAATACTGCTGGACGCTGTACTGCCAGAGGTGACCTCAAAACTGGAGTTGATGTTTAAATTCGCGGGTATTTGTTGGGCCTAGCGTGAGACTTTAAGGACAACCCGAAATGCTATTGGTCCTTTGTTAAGTCCTGGAAGTCAGCAGCGCATATATGAGTGATGGGAACGTGCCAACTGTCTGAATATCTTTTGCTTGTAAGTTCTGTGGCTCTAACGCCGGTATACTGTCTGACCCACCATTGCTCGCCGCGCCTGGACTGGACAGGTTTACTGTACCGCATGGTTATATAGCCGACTGCTCCTCGATCGCAGTGCACGCAAGGCCTGCTGCCTCGACGGGCTCAGTGCTAAGATTATCAGGGAGTGTGCAGAGGAGCCTGCTGTTCCGTTAGGAATGCTGTTCAAACTTTCTCCAAACTCTGGCGTCTTCCCTGTCATGAAGAAGCTAGCAAATGTGCTACCGATGCACAAGAAGGGCGCAAAAAGCTGCCTGAAATTACAGGTCTGTGTCTGCCTCCTATCTGCTCAAAAGTATTGGAGCAAATTGTGAGCGAAAGCCTATTACAGGTTTGTCTGCCGCCCTCCTCTCATTCCAGCAGGAATTCCACCGAAGAGTTCCTGCGTCACACTCCTTTCATGCTTTCTTGGACGATGATTGACGCCTATCTCAAAAGGCAAACAAGTAGATGCAATTTACGCCGATTGTTCTTCAGCACTCACCAGCCTTCACGTCAATCGCCTTCTTCCGCTTCAAAAGCTTCGCCATTCTCGCAGCTGGCTGGAGTCGTGCTTAAGCAAGCGTTCACAACGCGTAGTGCTGAACGGCAAGCAGTCTGACTGGAGACCAGTGCGATCTGGTGTCCCGGCAGGCAGCATCCAGAGACCGTTGTTGTTCGCCTGCTTTCTGGCTGATGTTCTCGACCAAACTGAATGTGAGTACCCTATGTACGCCGATGATGTGAAAATTTATCGCCGAATCGACGACGTAGCAGATTGTCTTACACTTCAGGCGGGTTAGGATCGCCTTTGTTTATAGTCCAAACGCTGGGGACTGAAATTGAGTCCAGCTAAGTGTAATGACATCTCATCCACCATACATTTTCACCACGTATTATCGTGTATTTTTTGTTTCCAAAGCTGGACTGCTTCTGCAGCTGGGGTTTTGCCTGAGGACTGCTTATGCCCTAAAGAGACAATAAGCAAGGTAAACTAGCTAAACGATAAGCAGGCTAAAAAAGCACGTTGCTACCGATCTAAGCCTCTTATGCTCAAATGTGTACACCAATTACATCAAAGCTTCAAGGTGAGGGAAGTGATGCGACCGAGCCAAGGTTGAAGTCATATCAGGTCACGCGAAAACCATAATTTTATCCAACATCAAGTGTTACATTTGTCGACGTCGAATATCGATCTGGAATCCGATGAGCACTAGAGAGCTGTCTCTGATGTCCCGAGAAAAGTGTAAAAAAAGAAAAAGAAAAAAAGAAAAGAGATGTCCTCGTTAGCCGCGATGCGTATGAAGTGCATTTTGCGAAAAATTAATTAGTTTTAAGAAAATCAGCCATGTCGATGGGTCTGTGCGTTTTTGGCCTGTTTTGTTTTTGTTTTTTTTGTTATCTGCTAACCTTGCGGTCGGATGGCTTAATGCATGCATGATGATTGTTAACATTTAACCGTTGATCTTTTTGACATCTGGAGATCGCACCGGCCGGTGCCCCACAAAATGGCTTTACGTCACGTGTCGGCACACCTCGGGCTATCACTGGTACATTGGGCTATCATTGGTAAGTATCATTGGTACTTTAACGAAGCTTCGTTAAAAGCGGGGGAAAGACAATTTCTGCTGAACATGAATGCTGAACTGCCGCTAACTTCACACGTGACGATTCTGTCACTTCGCACGGATTGGAAGTAGGCCCTGCGAAACTAATAGAAGCAGAAATGCCGCACTGCTCACGTGCTGAAGCGTATTATGATTAGGTCACCTCGTCCAGGACCTCCAACATCAGGTCTCGAGCATTTTTCAAAAGCCCACCTACATGAGGTGACCACGGGCTGAGCGTCGTATGCGTCATTGGGGCTTCGTGACGCACTCAGCTGCTGAGGCTATGTGGCGTCGCCTGCCTCTGACCATGGCAGAGAGGGCGGGCACCGCAAGGAATCGAGCCCCGTACCTCTTGGCCACTACACTGCCGGCACCCGCTGAGCGTCGTAGAGCGTCACACAGTCGTAGAAGTTGAGTGCGTCGTGAAGTCCCAATGACTAGACAAGGCGAGGCTTTCCCTCGTTCAACACGTTTTTTTTCGCCTTCCCAGCGTGTCTAAATGTGATAGCAATGGCACACGTTGATTCAGTGTCTTTTGGGTCGTAGGCAAAGCGGGCAGGGAGGAAGGGGGGAGGGATTCGTCGGCGCGATGGTGCTCTTACCTTCCAAGAATACTGTACATCAATTTCATCGCGATGCATAGAGGGAATCGGCATAGAAATCGGTCTGAGCACTTTATTTTCTGAGGCGTCCATTCACGCATCTTGTGCGTACATCCTAGTCACAACGGTGGAAGCTCTTGGGAGATCCGACCACTGGTGAGCAGGATCGAGCATGCCGTCTTCCATGAGACAAACATCTCCAGTCTGTTCACTGACATAACCCCGTGAAGATGACAACTGCTTCCCTAGACCGCTCTCCGCTTACCTATCAAGACACACGCTAGGTTCTGGGAGACGTGGGGTGGGTATAGCCGGTGCGTGCATGGCTGAGATGTGGGGTGGGTATAGCCAGTGCGTGCATGACTGGGAGACGTGGGGTGGGCATGGCCAGTGCGTGCATGACTGGGAGACGTGGGGTGGGCATGGCCAGTGCGTGCATGACTGGGAGACGTGGGATAGGTATAGCCAGTGCGTGCATGACTGGGAGACGTGGGGTGGGCATGGCCAGAGCGTGCATGACTGCGAGACGTGGGGTGGGCATGGGCAGTGCGTGCATGACTGGGAGACGTGGGATAGGTATAGCCAGTGCGTGCATGGCTGGGAGACGTGGGGCGAGCATAGGCAGTGCGTGCATGACTGGGAGACGTGCGTCAGGTATCGCCAGTGAGTGCATGGCTGGGAGACGTGGGGTGGGTATAGCCGGTGCGTGCATGGCTGGGAGACATGGGGTGGGTATAGCCGGCGCGCGCATGGCTGGGAGACGTGGGGTGGGCATGGCCAGTGCGTGCACGCCTGGGAGACGTGGGGTGAGCATAGCCAGTGCGGGAGACGTGAGGTGAGCATAGCCAGCGCGTGCATGGCTGGGAGACGTGGAGCGGGTATAGCCAGAGCGTGCACGACATTGCACGCATATTACACAGCATTTGACTCGGTGTCCTAACCATGCTGAAGAGACTCATCAAGTCTCCTGTCACATTATTCTTCAGAAGCGAAGCGCCAATCAAAAGCCGAGATCCGGAGTAAACACGCGGTAGGCACACCGCATACACCATTTATTGGCCCATCGTCCCAAGCCAAGCGTAGCACGTCCACGCATATTGTGCACCTCGACATGACCCACACCACGAATCCAGCAGTTCACGACTACAAAAATATGGTACTCCGCGACGGCAGTCCCCCCCCCCCTGCCATAGCCTTGCCCTGGTGCTGCCATATCCGTCGAGTAGCGTGGGACCGAGCGCCGATCGGCATGGTCCCAACCGGCTGACGCCCGTGGCGGACTCCGGCTCATGACCGGGTCATAACCGGGTCACGCCGGGCTCCGGGTCACAACGGGCTCCGGATCGCGACCGGACCCACCCGTCACCCCTCCCGGGCATCCTGACAGGAGCACCGTCTGAACAAGGGGCCACGAGGTCGGATCCAGTCCCGAGACGGCTTCCCGCTCTGTAGGGAGCCGCCGCGGCCGTCTATCACGGCAGGAGGCTCGGCCGCCCGACAGGTGAGGCTCAGCTGGGTGCACGGACGAGCGGCGGTGACAGGCCAGGGTAACAGTGACAAGTGAGGGCAGTGGTGACAGGTGAGGGCGGCGGTGACAGGTGAGGGCAGCGGTGACAGGTGAAGGTAGCGGTGACAGGTGAGGGCAGCGGTGACAGGTGAAGGTAGCGGTGACAGGTGAGGGCAGCTGTGCTCCATGGATTCCCCCCCCCCCTACAGTGGAGCGCTCACCGTGGCCAGGAGTGGTGCCTCCCACCAGTGAGTCCCTTTGCCTCCTGTGCCTGCTGATCCCCCTGCTCTGTCCGGGCATCCGCCGGCCGCGCCAAACGAGCCGCCATGACGCGGCCGGGCGGGCGGAGCTTTCGACAAGCTCCCCCGCCCCGCCAGCGCCGCTCTCCCGCCAGCGCGCGCACGGTGAGAGTCCGTTTGGGAGGTGCCCCGCCCGCCAGCACGGGCATGAGCCGGAACTGAGGTAGAGCATCCGAACGCGACGCGCCACCCACCCATAAATCAAAGACAACAGATTTCATTGGACTACCGGCTGTCGACTGGCAGAGCAGCGTTCAACGCGACTGGCCAGTCCAGACTACACTGAGTACGACACCCCGACACGGCTAGTGGAACAGAGTACAGCGCTGAGTGATGCTTTCAGACACACCTATTGGTCTATAGAAAACACTCTGACCTAAGACATTGCATAGCTTTGGTGGTAACTGGTATTGGTCCGACTTACAGTTGGCGACAACTGCCCCCAAACCAGTAGAGATGCTACGGCACGATTTAAAACAAACAATCCATTTAATGAACATACCAGATAGCATAAACCACATAATCAGGCCATCATAAGACGAACGCGACAAACACCTGGCGCTCATGGGTTGTGCCGGCGGTCCACATGGCCCCACGTGATGGATTACGTCCGCACCTAGCCATCTCTACCCCGCCCGCCGCCAGGCAGGTCTCCGCTCCCCGTGCCATCTAGTGGTACCAAACACAACTGGCGGTTGCGCACGACACCGGCAGTGGTCAATCGGAGCCGGTGCCGGTGTCGTTGTCGGGCTCGTCGCCGCTCCGTTGCGGGGTCAGGCCCGCGCTGGAGCTGGCCGCGGAGACGGGCGCCGACGCCTCCAGGCTGGCCAGCGCCTTGGCCACCTCGCTCCGCTGCGCCTTGGACAGGTGGTGGAGCAGGTGCATCACCGTCTCGGAAGAGATGTCCGGATGCGCCTGAGGACGGACCGCGCCCGGTGTCAGGTACGGCTCGGCCCACGCGCGCGGCCCCAGCGAGCCCCAATGCTGGCCCACTGCCGCCGTGACCAGCACACCTCACCCCAGAGGCCTCCCGAGACGACCGCTCTGCCGGACACAGGGCGACGACAGAGCGCTCGACAGGAAGCGGCCGACGTCCTCGCATCAGATTGGCGCCATCTATCACACACTGCGACTGTTAACTGTCACACAAACATCGAGGCGCATAAACTTCGCCGGCGCACCGTCATGAACTGATCTCATCCCGGCCCGGCCAATCCAAGCTCCAAGGGCCGCGTCTGGCCACCGCTCGCAGCGACCTTGCCTGCGATGCGATGAGGCCGACGCTGGCCGCCGGCGCCGTCCAGTCGCGCGCGTCGAGCGCTCCGCCGCTCACCGCGCAGGCGGCGCGCCAGCTGTCAGCCGCCCTCACCTGGATGGTGTGCCGCACGCGCGCCATGGCCGCCTCGCGCTCCAGACAGCGGATGTTGTCGAGCACCACCGAGTGCGAGGTGTTGTCGGGATCCATCTGGGCTGCCAGCCAGGCGGTCACCACCTGGTCGTCGTCCCACTGGTAGCTCTGGAGCGGCGGCGGGTCGGCCGAGTCAGTCGAGCGCGGCAGCGGCGCGCCGGCCACCAGCGGCATGCCCCACAGCCGTTCGCAGTTGAAACAAGACACACGAGTTTCGAGCCGCGGAGAGGAGTCCGCCGGCAGACACGGCTTCAAATCGCGCGATTCCCATCATCAATGCACCTATCTCCGAACACGTCACCTATCGGCATCCCTGCTGGGAACGCCCCCCCCCCCCCCCCCTCTCCCCTCGTGGCCCGCTCTCACACCGGCCCGGCTCGGCCTCGCTGGCGTGCGACGCCGCACCTGCATGGTTCCCTTGTCTTCGACAAACCACCGCTGCAGCTTGGTGAGCACGTGCTGGTGGCGGGCGGTGGGCTGCACGCGCTCCACCAGGCGGCACGCCTGCAGGCTGAGCAGGCGCCGCTGCAGGCGCCAGTAGAGCAGGCGGCGCGACTCGCCCCACGGCACCAGCTCCTGGATCACGCCCTTCTCCAGCATCCGCACCGGCGTGTCGTGCAGGTCAGCGAACTGGATCGCCACCTGATGGGCACGCACGGAAGGGGTCAGATCGGAACAGGTCAGGTCGGCGAAATGGATCATTTCCTGACGGCATCGTACGGAGAAAGGTCACGGCAGCAAAATGAGCTGCCACCTTGAAACACTCGCCAACGAAGATCAGAACGGGGGTGAAGTTGGTCGCTGTAGCGTCACGGACATGATGTGCTGGTATCAGACAACAGCCTGGTGGGATAATCCCAACTGGTGGGACAATCAGCCCCTGTAAGTGTCTGAACGCCACTGGTGACGAATAAACGGTGGACTGACGGTGTGTCAGCTGGACACCTGATGCTCGGCATCGTTCACAGCATATACCAGTGAACAAACGGCTAACAGGCGAGCTTTCGTGCCGCGACAACTTGTTAACGCGCTCTTAAAGCTCAATAACTACAAGGTCAGCGGGCTAATGCGAGATACCTTCACGGCACCTGAACGTGGGCTTCCGACCAGAACCTCGGGTCACTTTAGCCGTGGCAATCAATGGAGCATTATTTCAGCTACGTCACGTGGCGGTTATTTCCGCGGAAGCCCTTGAAGTCATCCACCCGGGTGGCGAGGTACCCCGCAGTAACTGACGTCGCCATACCGGGCGGTACCTCAGAGTGAGCCACCCAGCGTCAGGTTACCGGCTCGTCCCCGAGCGGCCCCACCTGGTGGTAGACCGGCAGCAGGTGTTGTTCACGCGCCGCCAGCCGGCGCTCCAGCTCCAGCCGCCGCTCTGCCGATATTTCCGGCTGGTTTAGCTCGGCTAGTAGGGCGCGCAGCTCCTCGTCCAACCGGCGCATCGACTTGATCAGGTCCTTGGCCTTGAACTTGATCTCCACGGTGCCTTCCGGCTCCAGCACGCCGCCCCTGCGGCATGGGAGGGGTCACGGACGCTGCCCGAACCGACTCTGCGGAAGGGCAGGCACTGACCTCTCCCGAAGCAACAACACGTACGCCGGCCATGCATCGGAGGAGCGGTGGGTCGCGGGCATTTTTCGGACCGAAAAGGCACACGCACACACTTGCCCATACCGAGCACCCACAGAACACACTGCAGCTCCATCTGGAAACCAAACAGCGCTGGGATCAGCGAGAGCAGACAGCTGGCGCACACCCCAGAGCTCCCGCCAGTCCTCAGGAGCAGGCGGCCCAGAGCTGCCGAAGAAGTCTGTTCACCTGAAGCTGCTGAGTCTTTCACACGTGCTCGCTCACGCACCGGCGCCGACCGGGTGCCGGTGGTCCGCGCCGTCGCGCCGGCCGCGTCCGTCCCGCACCCCTGCCCTGCCCTGACCTGCTCTCCGGGTCGGCCATCATCTCCATGTAGCGTGGGTTGATGGCGGCGTCGATGACGACCCAGGCGCCTCCGCGCAGCTCGCCGTACGGTGGGATGTACACGATGATTGGCTGGCGGTAGGCGCGCAGCGCGTCCACGATCATGGCGCCGAACTTGAGCACCTGGTCGTACATGTCTGTGGCGGAGCGGCCGACGTCCGTCAGCCGTGGCGACGAAGACCGGCGCTCGAGGCGATGGCGGCGCGGAGTCGCGGAGAAGGTGGCGGCGAGACGAGGCTCATGTCGTGTATGTGCGCGCGAGTGGCGGACGCGTGCGACGGCGCTGGTGGACAGGCATGGGAAGTGTTGGCTGTTCGGGAGAGCAGCCCATGAACGGAGAGAGCCGGGCGCCTGTTACCGAGAACAGTCAACTATGCGGTACAGGACACGAACGCGCTGTTCCGACGGTGGCAGGAGTGTCAGTCCTCCCGCCTCGCGTCTGGCCCGGGCACCAGCTCCGCCCCTCCTCACCCTTCATGCCACCGGAGAAGCCGCGCCAGTTGGCGAAGATGATGAGCGGCAGCTCCTCCCGGCTGAACAGCTCGATGCCCTGGGCCGTCTTGTAGGCCGAGTCCGGGAACCACACCTGGCCGGCCTGAGCGATTTTCTGCGGCCAGCACACTCGCGTCAGATCGGTGTCGCCGTTGACACGAATAAGCAGCCCGGCACCAGCGGTATACGGCGAGTAATGTTGCACACAGCGCGGACTGTGGTCGCAGCCATCGCTGATCCGATGGTATTATCAACACCGGTGACGATAAATCCGTGACGAAGTCAAGACCCTATCGCCCCCGAAAACGGGATTCCAAACAGCCGTTGCCTACCTGCCAAAGGAAACCACCCAGACGGTCTTCCCGACCCGAGCTGCTCACCCTGGCCTCGGTACAGTAAACTACGCCGGCTCCAGGCCCAACCTCGCACGCTCGGCCCCTCCACCGACCTCTTAACACGCCCCGTCCGCTAACCTGTCCTCACCGCCACCTTAGTCATCAACGCCGCTGACTCCAGAGCCTAGCAGCTGTCGTGGCCGGCCGCAGCTGCACACGGCCATCACTCGCTCCCCGGCCTCCGGAGCCGGCCGCCCGCCACCCTCCGCCCTCGCTTTGCTCCCACCCTCTGGAGCCGGCCGCCCGCCGCCCTCCGGCCTCACCCTGCTCCCCGGCCTCCGGAGCCGGCCGCCCGCCGCCCTCCGGCCTCCGGAGCCGACCGCCCGCCCCCCTCCGGCCTCACCTTGCTCCCCGGCCTCCGGAGCCGAACGCCCGCCACCCTCCGGCCTCCGGAGCCGCCCGCCCGCCACCCTCCGGCCTCACCTTGCTCCCCGGCCTCTGGAGCCGGCCGCTCGCCGCCCTCCGGCCTCCAATGCCGACCGCCCGCCGCCCTCCGGCCTCACCTTGCTCCCCGGCCTCTGGAGCCGGCCGCCCGCCGCCCTCCGGCCTCACCTTGGCCTCAGAGTCAAGGTTGGCCGGATCAGCCGGCAGCGTGAGCTCGACGGTTCGCGTCTCGACCGCGATGACGCCGACAGGCAGGCCGCCGAGCCGGCCGCGGCCGCACACCACCGTCTCTGCCCAGCCGCGCATCACCTCCGAGAACGAGCCGGCGTCCAGGAAGCCTGTCTCCCACTCGCCGGGGTTCGCTGCCGGACAGACGGCGGTGACGACGGCGAGCGCGCGGCGGGGCCGGGGTAGGTGCGGGGGGGGGGGGGGATTTAAGCTGAACGTAAAACGCTGAGTCGGGGGAGGGGGAGGGGAACCCGCTCAGACAATGACTTCCCGTGGAACAATATTTGTAGCGGGTGCAGCATGGCATGATGCACAGGCACGAGGTAATCGAAAGCCTTCAGCTTCTGAGAGGAACAAAACCGGTGGGGTGGAGTGAGAGGGAGTGCACAACACCGAGCAAACACGTGAGAAACATCTACCGGACCTTCGACGAAGCCGGCGGTCACACAAACATCGCACGCGGGGACACCTGTCGAAGTGTTCTGTGAACGCTGAGAACAGACCGCTGACGGCATCCCTGTCTAGGTCCGGGCTGGGTCGGTCGCTCAGGTCACGGGCCGACGCTGGCGGCGCCGCGGCCGGCTGTGCTGCACTCTGCGACCGACGGCGGCGGCCGGCTGACCTGGGTTGGGCCGGCCGGTGAGCAGGAGGCGCGGGTCGTACGGCGCCTTGGTCGGCTGGAACGTCACCGGCCGATCCACGGGGTCTACGCTGGGCAGGATCGGCAGGCCGGCGCCCTTGTGCTGCGCAACGCGGATGCACGAATCGTTACCGCGCGGCCACACGGGAGGAAGACTTTTACCGGGCATGTGCACGGACGCACGCACCAGCAGCGCGTGCATCTCAAACCATCGGGAGACATCTGACGATGCCGCTGATAATCTGAGCAAAGGAAACAGCCGCCAGTCGCAGTGCCAACGAATCAACTCTGTCCAACCGACACACTCCATGTAATCGAACTCTCGTCCGACGAAACGTGACGTCACGAGCTGACGGACAGTCGCCGCAGCAGGTCCTAGAACCGAGCACACGTCTGATGACCTGTACCCCCGCCCCCCGCACGCTCCCGACCAGCCGGACCGCGCGACCCGGTCAGGCCCGGTCGAAGCCGGCACACCGCCGGCCCGAGCGGCCGGACGCCGTACCCGCGGCACGTAGGACAGCCAGCGGAGCAGGCAACAGATGCCGTCGAAGTCCTGGCCGCAGACGTCATGCGACACGCCGTTCTTGTACATGATCTGCACGCCGCCCAGCTGGTTGTTGGAGGAGTACACCTCGCTGCCCAGCAGCTGAGGAGCAGACCGAGTCGGCCCGAGTCACTCACGGCCGGCCCGGACGGCGGGTGCGGCGGCGACGCGGCAGGCGAGGGCGAGCCCAGTGGAGACAGCCGCCGACCAGCGGTCACACTTGGGGCACCGTAAAGGGCGTGCCTTCATCGAGATAGGTCGAGCTATCGCAAAGCTCATTACGCACAATATCATTACATCGGAAAACAGCCCAGACAAACGCAGAAAAAAGCATAGCTTCGAATCTGTCTTAAGAAACACCGTAACCGGCTATCGTTTCATCAAACATTGACACCATTAAACGTGCCATGGTCAGACGCGGTCGGTGGAACGAAACTGTGGCAAACATTTGTGCACTTCGTCACCTTTTCTGTTCTCCTGTCCACCCTAACTTTCCCTCCACACTCGGCACTCGCTAATACCTTGTTTGCTGACCAAACCTTCCCACCAACGGTACCGTTTCACACCGCCCGAGCCCAACACCCCTCCCCTCACATATCACGAGCGGCGGTCGGCGCCCCGCTTCACGCCGCCTCCCCGCACCTCCCCGGGTGCCACCTAGGCGCGCCGCGCCCACCTTGTTGAGGGCGCCGAAGCCAGTAAGGATGATGTGCGACGTGTCCACCTGGACGACGCGCTGCCCGAGCCGCACCAGGTAGGCGCCGATGCCGATGGCCCGACACGTCACCATTGACATGGTGACCACCTCGTTGTAGGCCTGCGACGTCTCGCCGGCGATCATGGCCGCGTGCTGCAGGTTCTCCACGCCCAGACCGTCGCCCTCGCCTGGCAGCGGAGCGGGGCAGATGGTAGGGGCGCCGCCGCACGCGGGCGCGCCGGGTCCGAGGCGGCGAGAGAGGCCACGGGAGAGGCCAGAGAGGCCAGAGAGGTCTCTCTCGGAGCCACTGCGGGCCGCTGTCGGCACCGGCTGCCGTGTCCAGGACCGCTGTCCATCTGTACCGCGGTCGGAGCCTGGGTGCCTGCGCTTGCACTGACTGTCATCCATTGCCAGAGGTTCTGTGACTAAGACACCACAGAAACCATCCACCGGAACAATGCTCAAAGGGAGGCCGGTCGATCGTGTTCGGCTGTGCTCGACTGTCAGAACAAGTTCACCGGCACGGTGAGATCGGCGCAATGCGTCTGCTTCTTTAGTCATTTAATCATTGCACTATTACTACGAGCCCTGCCGTTCACAGTAAGCCTCCATACTACACATCACAAGTCGCAGCGCAACAGAAGGCTCCCGGCGTACCACTCCCTGGGAGTGCCCCCTCTCCGGGCCACTGACCGATAATGTGACTGATCCTGTACCGCGGCTCGCCCTCATCCTCCACCAGCACGGCCTGCACTGAGTTGGAGGCCGACACCTTCTGGAAGTCGTCCGGCGTGAGGTAGATGTACCGGAAGCCCTGCCGGAGCCCGCGTGGTGAGCGTGACGTCACGCCGCGTGCCGCGCCCGTGCCAAGGTTTCCGTCGTTGAAGTGTCCCACCGAACACGTCAAGGGCACACTTCAATTAGCCGCTCAACATGGCCAACAAAACCACATCAAAGTGGCATAGCAACGACAAGCCTTGGAAAAAGCTGATGTTACAGACTGCCCGTTTAGCATGGGCTATTTTGCTTCATGCTCTACGATAACTCACGGGAACATTCATTAGCAGGGCGTCGAACATAGCCATTACGGAGGCCCACAGGTGCTGACAACGACCATGACTCATCCGTCACAGAATCCCGACACGCGTACGGATGAAGGGCAGGTGCTCGGGCTGGACGGCGCAGGCGCGTAACAATCACCGAAAGCAAGTCAGCCGTGACATGAACACGGCATGACGTGCGAATGAGCTTGCGTCTGGCTCGAGCAAACAGCCCGCCACGCGCGAGCCGCACGCCACTGGAGCGCCGCGCCTATCCGCCGAGCGCCAACGCGCGTCGGAGCACACGTCAGACCGCGCTCAGCGGACGGAACCCAGCCGTGTCAGAGGAGGCCCACTCTGGAGACGGCCCACCCGGTCCGCTTCCTCATAGGTCACAGCCTACCCCGGGCTCTGCTGGGCGTCCCTGACCCTATCCGTGACCTCCGGGATCACAACCTCGCCCCGCTCATCGGGAGGTCATTGACTTTCTCCGGTCACTCTGGGGGAACACTGACCTTCTCCGGGTCCTCGGGGTCGACCCAGGCGACGCGGAACAGGTGCTTGATCTCCTCCGCCAGGCCGATGCGCGCCCCGCTGTTGGCTGATAGGTAAATGCGTGGAATACGCAGCTGGCGGGACAGCTGCCGACAACAGGTCAGGTCAGGTCGAGCAAGGTCGGGTGAGGTCACGTCAGGTCATGACGCCACGTCAGATCGGACCGCGGCGATTCGGACTGGAGACAGCAATGAGCGTGTGACTTTGCAGCACGAGTCAGTACTGTAGCACGCGAGCGAAATCTCAAAATCAAATCTCGGTGTAAAACGTGTCATGTCTGCTTCTGATGCCTTCATAGCCCTCCTGTCCAAGCAAGTGGCTACACAACATATCATAAAATAAGGATTGACACTTATCATGTGCACGCATGGTGTTTGGCTGCGATATCTCGATGACCTTTCTGTCTGGGGCGGTGACCAAACATTCAATCACGCGATCAGGACTGACGCAGCCAGTGACACGACAGGCCTCTGTGCTCTGCCAGCGGGTTGGCAAACGACTCACGCTCCCGCCGGCCCGTTTTCCCTCTACCGCTCGCCGCCGCCGGCCAGCCGGGCTCACCTGTGATGCCTTGAGGAAGAGGATGTCCTCCTCGGGTCCGAAGCTGCCGATGGCTTGCGTCAGGTCGTTGGCGATGACGACGATCTCGCGTCCGGTCGGGTACTCGGGCGTGATCAGCGTCATCTTCCAGGCGACCATGCCGATCTGGCAGCGGACGGCCGGGTGTTCAGCCGCGGCCGCGCACCACCCGCTAACAACTGCACGCCACACCCAGCCGCGGCCGCGCACCACCCGCTTACACCCGCTCGCCACACCCAGCCGTGGCCGCGCACCGCCCGCTCACGCCCGCACGCCACACCCAGCCGCGGCCGCGCACCACCCGCTTACACCCGCTCGCCACACCCAGCAGCGGCCGCGCACCATCCGCTCACACCCGCACGCCACACCAGAGACGCCATCGCAAACGATCGAAAGAACGACGCAGGAACCAAAATCCGCGACTGCCAAAAGCGGAGCAAGGTGGACGTTATATGAACAAACCATGTAGTCACGCCATCTGCATCCCCAACTTTATATGACCAAGCCATGTAGTCACGGCACCTGCAACCCCAACTTATCAATCAGCTTCACACCCGACTGGAGCCGACAGGCGCCGCCTCTTCACGGCCGGCACCGGCCGGGCGGACATGGTCGCCAGCTCACCTTGTTCTCCCCCGGCAGCCGTTTGACCTCGACCAGGTTGTTGTCGGCGTCCAGCACGAGTTCGACGATGTGGTGGAGCGAGTCCTCGGGTGGCACCACGGTCGGGTCGCGCCGCCGGTGCTCCACCCACAGTTTGTCCATAGCCTGGCGGCGCAGTGGCGGCGGGTGAGCGCCGCACAGCAGCGAGTGAGCGCCGGCACAGCAGCGGGTGAGCCCGGGCACAGCAGCGGGTGAGCGCCGGCACAGCAGCGGGTGAGCGCCGGCACAGCAGGGGGTGAGCGCTGGCACAGCAACGGGTGAGCGCCGGAACAGCAGCGGGTGAGCGCTGGCACAGCGGCGGGTGAGCGCCGGGACAGCAGCGGGTGAGAGCGGCGTGAGCGCCAGTACAGCAGCGAGTGAGCGCCGGCAGAGCGGCGGGTGGGTGCCGGTACAGCAGCGGGTGAGAGCAACGGGTGAGCGCCGGCACGGCAGCCGGTGGGAGCAGCGGGTGAGTGCCGCACAGCAGCGGGTGAGCGCCGGCACAGCAGCGGGTGAGGGCAGCGGGTGAGTGCCGCATGGCAGCCGGTGAGCGCTGGCACAGCGGTGGGCCACTACGGTACGCTCGCAGCAGCGTGCGCCCGCCTCGACCCGCACTGCCCAGCGATCAGAAGGGAAGGCAACACACGGACGCTTCAACAATGGGTTTACTCAGGATGAAGGCCCACGACGCATGACACGTAAGATCGTGCTAAGATTCATTCAAAAGCAATCGATATCCGTACAGCTACAAGGGTAACCAACAATAGTACTTTTACATGTGTAAGACAACTGAACTAATCATACAATGGGATGAACCCCACCTGCTCATTCTGCGTAACTGTACAGACAACTTTTCCGTGAGTGAAAATCACACGTTGCTAGGTTCCTTTTGTTCATTTCGTCATTAAAAAAGGCCAGAAAACTCGAGCAGCGTGCCACGTAGTTACAATTGGGAGGGCCTCAGGGTCGCCACTGATGTACCAAATCCGAACGCCTCCGCTACTGGAAACAAAGATTCGCCGGACTCGCAACGCCCTGCGCTGCATACTCTGATTGCCATGACACGGCCATCCTGTCATCGTGGCAGTCTCTGGCAGTCTCCGGGGAGCGACCCCACGCCTCTGGTCTGAATCGATCTCGATTCAGACCAGAGCGCCGCCGCGTGTTTCCGAGCCATGTGTCTTGGCGAAGCGAGGCCGAGGCGAGCTGGCCTTCACCAGCCAGACCACCTCCTCACCTGGCGGAACATCTCGGGGAAGTCGTAGACGTAGGTGGTGCCGCTGTGCTGCGCCTGGAACCGCTTCAGCTGCAGGTAGTCCTTGGTCAGGTAGGGCGTGTCCACGGCAAGCCCGTGAAGTGGGCCCTGCTTAGCCCCCAAAGCCTGGAACTTGACCTGGCCGGGGCGAGAGGCACTGCGTCAACGGCGCCTGAGGCCTTCATCGACAGAAGCACGGCACAACACCGCCAGCGGTCCAGCATCTGCAGACCTGAGGGTCAGACACACCAGGAACACGGGATCCGCGGCTTCAGCCACCATCACGGGGAACAGGCCGTCGATGCATTGCCCGGGTGGCGCTACTGGAAACAAAGATTCGCCGGACTCGCAACGCCCTGCGCTGCATACTCTGATTGCCATGACACGGCCATCCCGTCATCGTGACAGTCTCTGGCAGTCTCCGGGGAGCGACCTCACACCCGCAGCCGAGCCCACGCGCCGTGACCAGCGGACCAGGACGCGGCGCCGGCCTGCGGAGCGAGCCGCCGAGGCGGGACTCACCTGGCCGGTGGACGGGTCGGTGACCTCCTTGTAGAGCGCGATGTCCAGGTAGTATCCGTTCTCGTTGCTCAGGCACAGCCGGATGGAGGTGGTCGCCGAGTGAGCCGAAGAGCGAATGGTCATGCGCACCTCGGCCTGCAGCACGCGCAGCTTCCAGAGCCGCGGTCCGTACCGCATCACCATCGGCCGCACGCTCTCCACCACCTGCCCGCACCCAGCCACGAGGCGGAGAGGCGTCAGAGATCGCCAGATTGGTGTGACGTCGCGGCACGGCCAAACGTGTCGCCCTCACTTGAGCGATCTCACCGGAGACAGAGCAAACATCAAATCAACAAGGAAGACGATTTGACTTTACGGCCACCGCCAAGGTAGTAAACAAACAGTCAATGCGTCAAACACCGACCTTTAGCATTCCCAGCCCATAGAAAGCGTATCTAGCTGTCAAGCCCCGGCAGTGGTCATCGTCCGCAGCCGCAGCGGTCACCGCCCGCGGTAGCAGCGAACACCACCCACGATCGTGGTGGTCACCGCCTACAGCAGCAGCGGTCACCGCCCGCGGCTGCAGCGGTCACCGCCCGCGGTAGGGGCAGACGCCACCCGTGATCATGGTGGTAACCGCCTACAGCCGCAGCGGTCACCGCCCGCGGTAGGGGTGGACGCCACCCGTGATCATGGTGGTAACCGCCGTGGTTGCAGTGGTCGCTGTTCGGCGCCGCACCTTAGCAGGATCCAGCGTGACGGTGGGCACGAAGTTCATGAAGATGTGGTTGCAGTCGGTGCGGTGAGCCAGGGGATGAGAGAAGGCCACCTCCAGCTCGTCCATCGACTCGAGCAGCAGCCGCTCGCCCTCGTTCTGCAGGAACTCGAAGCTCGCCTCCTTGGTGATGAGGTCAGAGTGCCGGATGATAGAGCGGATGAAGAATCGGAAGTCAGTCACTTCCTGGCCAGTCGCCACCTGTCGGACACCGACGCCGGGTTAGCGGGGGACATCACCACGAGCGCGTGAGCCGATATCGGAACTGTTCACGGAGAAACAAACTGAATGCCCTGACCAGTCACAACGCGATATACTATCCACTACCATGGCACGACATCCCACAACAAAAATAGCGCGTCTTCGAACAAGGAGCGAGTAGCTCGCGGCACGCGAGGCTTTCCGGGCCTCCACCACAGAGCCGTGGCTCGATGCCAGCCTCCGATGAGCCGGTCCCGAGCCGCCCGGTCCTGCGTCGGCCACGCTGACTCGGACCTGTTCAGGGCGACGTCCAGCCAGGGAAGTTGGCCTCACCTCACGGGAAGCCTTGGAAGCCGATCGATGCCGTCGGTGTCAGCCTAGCTCCCCGCCGGTACAGCAGCGCGCTGACTCACCTTGGCCTTGCCCAGGTAGAGGTGCATCTTGTGGTTGGAGGTGGGCAGCGCCTCCAGGTCGTAGGTGCGCAGGCGGTTCATCTCCAGCTGGAACGCCAGCGCCGGCTCCAGATGCCGGTAGATACGGTCCTCGGCGAAGCCGTCGCGAGAGCGGTACGTGAAGTAGCGCGGGAACTCGTGTCGGAACAGCACCACGAACGTCACGCGGCGCACCAGACTCTGTCGGAACAGCACCACGAACGTCACGCGGCGCACCAGACTCTCTCGGAACATCACCACGAACGTCACGCGGCGCACCAGACTCTCTCGGAACAGCACCAAGAACGTCACGCGGCGTGCCAGACTCTGTCGGAACAGCACCACGAACGTCACGCGGCGCACCAGACTCTCTCGGAACAGCACCGCGAACGTCACGCGGCGCACCAGGTTCTGTCGGAACAGCACCACGAACGTCACGCGGCGCACCGAACTCTGTCGGAACAGCACCACGAACGTCACGCGGCGCACCGAACTCTGTCGGAACAGCACCACAAATGTCACGCGGCGCACCGAACTCTGTCGGAACAGCACCACGAACGTCACGCGGCGCACCGAACTCTGTCGGAACAGCACCACGAACCTCACGCGGCGCACCAGGCTCTGTTAGGACACTGGGAGGTCTCACGATACACCAGGCCGGCAACGCAAAACAGCACCTCTCTGCTATACAACGGGGAGTCGAAACGAAATGCACCCCATGTGGATCAAACGGCTCACCAGGGAATATGCGGGCCAAAAACACGCTCACACCAGGGAACACGTGCGGCGGGCCATTACAAGCTGACAGGCGATGGGCCGATCATGCTCGGTTGACGTCATACGGACGCCCAATGACGGCGCGTGACCGAAACGCCGCAACAGCTTGCCATCACAACACCGGGCGGTCGAGGCAATGTGAGCAGCGTAGCACAGCAAAGCATAGCGGCTTCCTGGCTCATGTCTTGGTCCGCGGGGAGCCGCGACCAGGGCGCAGACGAAAACAGCGGGCCACTGCAGACCACCAGCGCCGTGTCTGCCCTGCCACCAGCGCCAGGTCTGACCTATGACCAGAGCCGAGCGTGCCCTATCACCAGGGCCATCACCAGTTCCGAGTCTGACCTATCACCTGGGCCATCACCAGGGCCGATTCTGCCCTATCGGCCGAGTTTGCCCTATCACCAGGGCCATCACCAGTTCCGAGTCTGACCTATCACCAGGGCCATCACCAGGGCCGAGTCTGCCCTATCGGCCGAGTTTGCCCTATCACCAGGGCCATCACCAGTTCCGAGTCTGACCTATCACCTGGGCCATCACCAGGGCCGAGTCTGCCCTATCGGCTGAGTTTGCCCTATCACCAGGGCCATCACCAGTTCCGAGTCTGACCTATCACCTGGGCCATCACCAGGGCCGAGTCTGCCCTATCGGCTGAGTTTGCCCTATCACCAGGGCCATCACCAGTTCCGAGTCTGACCTATCACCTGGGCCATCACCAGGGCCAAATCTGTCCTACGACCAGGGCCGAGTCTGCCCTACCGCCAGGGTCAAGTCTGCCCAATTACCATGACCAAGCCTGCCCTATGACCAGGGCAACGTCTGCCCTACCAAAAACGCCGAGCTTGCCCCTTGGCCTTTACAACGATTAACGAGCTGCACCAGCGCGGCTCACTGCGTAACTCCCTCTGGCATGCTACATTGCTAGGCAGCGATAAGTGAGCCGCGCTAACATGGCTCTTTGTGTAGCTGCCTTTGGTACACGCGATATTGCTGGGCAGCAACAGGCCGACGACGATCCATGACTCTGCGTCAGCCCAATTACCCGGCAACTATAGCCGACCTGGACTGAGTGCCTGCCGCCCACTCTGGGGTGGACTGGACGATCGGGTCGAGCCCGCACCGCTTCCTACACGGACAGGACCTAGGTCCGACCGACATCACCGGCTGTCGCTTCTAACCAGGGCAAGTGGACAAAATGCATCACGGCCTTTGGACAAATTTCTCATTTGCTGTCCAACGCAAGAGGACTTACATAAATTGGAGCGTGCTCTCATGCGGTTAGCTTTTACAGGGCTGGGCCTAACAAAACAGATGCCTCAATAAAGTTTTCCGATCGAAAGAACAGATGGTTCTGATCGTCAAAGCATTATCAGGCCCGGCGGTAGGGAGCACCCATCACCCCCACGTCTGCGTTCTGCCTTCCGCCGTGACGCTAAGGGCTACAACACTGCCACAATGGCAGTGGGTACCACCAGGCGGTGTTTGTCTTCCACCTGGTCATTGGCACTGCTAAAATTGTTCAGAATTATTACAGCACAACGGGACAAGTCTCAACAACAAAAAAGAGTCGCGAAGTGAATTAGTACGGCACGCTTGGGCATGTCAAAAATGATCTCAAGAAGGCCCATCCATCAAACTTCAAGGCATTCATGCCAGAGCACGTGATTATTCTAAAAAATGACAGGAAACGGGATTTTACATCATCAAGACGTGGAATAGTAATTGATAACTGGTTTCGGAATACGTTCATCACAGGCACTGTGCTAGAACCCGAACTGAGTATATGCATAACACTATTGTTATCATGACCAGCAATGCAATTATGTACACCTAATGCACGGATTATAGGGTCTCCACAAATGATCAAAAGTTGACATCGACCTACCATTTACATTCATCGATCAACATTGATAAACGTGTCCGCCGTGATATGCCACTGCCTGGAGAGGAACACACATCACACGTTATTTCTACTTCAGGCATGCACGGATGCATGACACAAACGCATCTCAACCACGGCTCCCTTGCTCCACCTACCTGCACCAGGAACGGCCGGCGCTGGGCGCAGAAGGCCGACAGTTTGGCGTTGAGCGCCTCGTCGGCCACCTCGTCAGTCACGCGGATGGCGATGTTGAGGATCAGCTTTGGGTCGTCCTCAGTCTGTGAGAAAGCGGCGCGGTGTCAGCGCGCGCACTCGGCGCCGGCTCGGGCACGCGCGCGCCGACACGGGCTCGGGGAGGTCAGGAAGGCGCCGCTGGCCGGAGAGCGGCGTCGCTCGGCGCGTCTGACCGAGGGGCGGCGGCGCAACGGCGGCCACCCACAGCCTCGGCCGTTTTGCGTGCAGCAAACACGCGCTTGTGTCTCCTCATCCGTTTGGAGAGACTCCCGTGAGTTTCCAGGCTGCTTGACCTCGTATCGTTCCTGTAGTCTGTGTTTCCCTGTTCACACCCTTCCCCGCCCCTCGCCTCGCCGGCAGGCTTCCCCGCTAAACGTCTTATTTCCGGCCCGCTCGGTCTCATTTCTCGCCGGTGGGTCCGGCCCCGCGTAACCCACCTGGCTCGCGACTTTGTGACCCATCTCGCTCGCGACCCCAGACTCATGACCCACCTCGCTCGCGACTCCAGACTCGTGATCCACCTCGCCCGCGACTCCAGACTCGTGACCCACCTCGCTCGCGACTCCAGACTCGTGATCTGCCTCGCCCGCGACTCCAGACTCGTGACTCACCTCGCTCGCGATTCCAGACTCCTGATCCACCTCGTCCGCGACTCCAGACTCCTGATCCACCCCGCCTGCGACTCCAGACTCGTGATCCACCTCGTCCGCGACTCCAGACTCGTAACTTACCTCGCTGGAATCGCTTGGCTCTGTCAGCGAGCCGCCCAGCGTCATGGAGGTGCCCAGGTGGTCGGCGTCCAGGTCGCGGCTGTGCCCTCGGTCCCTCCAGGCCGGGATCAGCTCCTCCTGCCAGCCACAGGACCGCGTCAGCCGGCCGGTCGCACCGCCCAGCTCCGCACCCTCACTGATTGACTTTCTGACGATGCTGTTGTAGCAGCTCACGCATAAGAGGCATTTTGCAAGAGAGGCGTGGCTGGCTCACACAACTCACAAACAACAAATTTGATAACAAATGCGATTACATCATGCACATCATGTGTGCAAAAATGGGTATGATCATTGCCGCACGGTAAAGTTAAAGATCTGCTACAAAGCGGATTGATGTTTTTGACAAGCAAGAGATGCCCAAATGCGAAATGACACGCACCCAGCTCGAAGCGCAGCAGCAACGATCGTAAATGCCGTTACATTTTTGGCAAGCCCGGCTCCCGCGCGCAACAAACAAATAGCCTTGTATTCTCAGACGGTCCTCCGGTCCCGCTCCATGTCGAGTAGTGGAGAGCTTATCTTACGGATCCAACAGCTAATAAAAGCCGGGTCATGTGAGGTAAAATCGTGAGCGAAGCCAGGTTAGACCACGGGTTATTTTGGCTCGTGTTCAAACGACCAGCCCGCAAGGCTTTCAGCTCTAAGGCTTTCAGGATCAAGAATATGACATGCCATGATTTGCAGATTTACCGGCAATTTCACCGAGCTTACCTCAGCTCGGAAGAATCAGCATTTGTTTAGAATATAATATACAAACCTCGCGTGCATCTTCACGTGAAGTTTACTTCATGCTACGCCAAGGGTAGCATTTAGCCATCTGAGTTAATCTGATGCGATCATTGGTCAGCGAAACCGGTGTTGCAGCATCCATGGGCCGCCTGGCGTCGGGTCCGCGGCTGATACTTGACGACGGTCAAGGGGTGGTCAAAAACGTCCAAGCATCGGACACTGATACCTCTAGGCGCTTTATGAAATCAAGGCATATGCTCGCAGAATGTGTCCTGGGCCGCAGATTTCAACTGTGTAATTTTCCTACTGATACCCGCGCCAAGCGGACTGGCGCGTACAGCACCGCCAACGCACGATGCAGCGACCTGGCTCTATCGCTCATGCTCCTGTTAAGTGCTCATGCCGTTCCATGAATCAACTTCGTAAATGCACAGGCCGCATTTCCTGATCCAGACCTAAAGGTCCCTTCCGTCCGAGCCCGGATCTCTAGCGGCTGCCATTCTGGTGATACGAGGACCGAGCCCCCTGGTCGATCCAGAGGCCTTCAGGGGATATATCATGCACCGAGCCGGACTCCTCCCTGCTGCGGCCGGTCCTCTGACCGGGACACCTGGCACAACACTGACGCAGGGGCCCTCATCAGCCCCTGACTGAAACGGCCCGGATAGCCCCCACTGAGATAGCCCCCACCATAAGGGACTCTGCCTGACCTTTTAATGGGGCCTTTTAATGGCTCGCTGTGAACGTGAACTCTTGCATCGTCATTTCTCATATGTCTTTTATTTGCCAAAAGGGCCCCACCGACGTAAGAGGCTCTTTGCTATTTGAGCTTATGTGCCTGTTCCTGCTCAGCAAATATGGCTCCTGCCAATTTGAGACCCATTGCCACTACAGCGTCCCACGTTACGTACTGCGGATCTCTGAGCAGGGGGCATCACTGTTTCAGGGGTGCTGAACGACGCAATAGACGTTCTAATGGATATTTCAGACTCGGGCTAACTCCTGCTTGGGAGCCGACTGCTCAGCACTGGTGACCTCAGTCAGCTGACTGACACAGAGGCCTTTAATGCCGCAGGGAGCCCCCGATCAGCTTCCAGATTTTTTCTCGAAAACAATTTGTGGTGGCCTGGATTTCGGTACCCTCTGAAACTGAGGACATCGGGACCCTTTGAATAGCCCGCTCGGATTAGGTGTCTCTAGGAAATACGCATTACCGTGCCGCAAAAAAGTGCAGGCTTTGGTGCCTCTTATCGAATGGGCCAATCCAGGACTCCGCCAATGGAGAGGCACGGATATTGCGACGACCACATAATTCGGCGTCTTGGCCGGTGGATTTTAACGTCTTTTTACAATGCAGGCTTTGGGTCCTTTACATAACCCACTTGAATTTGGTGCTTACACCAACTCTACGATATCGATTGACTTCATGCTACCTCAAATATTAAACGAGCGGTAAATTTCCCCTCCGTCCATATCATCACTGGTATCAAAGCTCGCTCAGTGCAAAGATGATCGCAAGTGGTGTTGACAAGAGTGTAATGCCTCTCATTTGCTTGAAATTCATCTGTTCATTACGTTACACATCTGCAATCTTCAGCGTAACAACCAGCAATCGCTTACAAGTCTGCCAATGGACCATGAGGTGTTCTGGCGACGTGGTGATCTCTCGGTGCAATATCAAACCAAAAGAATGCATCGCCTGTTCTCTACAGCTCGATGGCTTATCGGTATCTGATCGGTAGCTGATCGGTTTAGGTATCAATTTACGTGTCTGGGCAGCCAACACAGGACTGTCAGACATACATATCCAGCCCTGATCACAACACTGCGGGTACATTTCAAAAATAGCATACTCAGACCTCTTGAGGTCGCCCATGTCCCATCATGAGTATGCAATTTTATCTGGAGCACATGTGATTGTTGTTCGATAATGGTTAGGATCGTCTATTCGTGGGAAGTATTTGCATAGCCGCTACAAGGGGCATTTGCATTGAGCCACCAACAGAGCAAGTGATACCGTTCGCCAATGATTGCACTCGTTCGCCTCGACACTGCCACAAGATGTCACGAACTGTCAGCCGTTCAGAACGCACACCGGTTATTATCTTTCCGGGAGCACAGGCGAGCCCCACGGGATGTGGTCGGCCCTCGTGTGTCCCTCCGGGAGCACAGGTGAGCTCCGGGGGATGTGGTCGGCCTTCGTGTGTCCCTCCCGGAGCACAGGTGAGCTCCAGGGGATGTGATCGGCCTTCGTGTGTCCCTCCGGGAGTACAGGTGAGCTCCAGAGGATGTGGTCAGCCTTCGTGCGTCCCTCCAGGAGCACAGGTGAGCTCCAGGGGATGTGGCCAGCCTTCGTGTGTCCCTCCCGGAGCACAGGTGAGCTCCAGGGGATGTGGTCGGCCTCCGTGCGTCCCTCTAGGAGCACAGGTAAGCTCCAGGGGATGTGGACGGCCATCGGGTGTCCCTCCGGGAGCACAGGTGAGGTCCAGGGGATGTGGTCGGCCTTCGTGTCCCTCCCGGAGCACAGGTGAGCTCCAGGGGATGCGGTCGGCTGATGAGACCAGGCTCTCACGGTTAACATCTTCATGAACGTGAGGAGTTCGCAACGCTGGGTGTTTGCAGGCGAATGCGACTTTATAGTGCGGTTTAAAATCATTCATTACATATCACAGTATCACAAAACAAAACAGCTATCAGCGGACGTCAGAGATAGTTATAGCGTAAGCTACTCTTGGAGTCAAAAATGCCAACCTTACCCGGAGGAATTCGCACTTCTAATCGAATTGGATCCATCACAGCACATTTCTTATGCTACTTTTACTACTAACGTAAAGTCGAATCTAAACAGCAGCTTTTCGACGCCAATAAAACCCGAAACGATACAAAATCACCACTTTTGCACTTCGTCTCTGGTCACAGAGCCCCAGAGTTGATATGCTGGCAAAATGCAGTAATGAGCCTTGGTCAAGAATTTGTAATAGTTTGGAGAGAAAACTCATATGGAAAGAGTACATACGAGATGGGACAGGAAAGCGCGGGCTATTTTTACATACTTACACCAACGCAATTTCTTGTGAGACCCAAGTCGTTTAATCCAGTTGTCTAAAGGCAGCGCATTCTTAGAGCAGAAGAAAATCACATTGAGAGTTGGAGAAACAGTTTCAGTATGACCAGCGCAAGACTGAACGATGTTTACATCCCGGCAAACGTAAGACTGAACGTATGTCTACATTCCGGCACACGACACCGCCGCTTGGCAGTGACACACGCACGCGTTGGATCGGATAATGCGTCGTAAGATTTGAGCCATGTGCACAACGCAGCACACAAGCGCATCGCAGCAACGGCACTTCAGCAAAATAGACACTGAACCAACCATGTTCCGTGACATTCAAGCTGGCATACCTTAGTTACGAGATGCGTATTCGGTGCTTCCAGAGAGTCCTGTCTGTAAAGTACGCCAGTGAAGGTAACTGGCTCGGACAAGACGGTGCAATGGAGGATTGGTACCACCTGAAACATCAAGATCATGCGCCTGATCTCGCGAGAGCTGTGCGTTTGGAAACACGGTATCGCCGAGAAGAACCGTGATGGCCAGCTGAGCGAGGACAACGTCCGGAGAGATCGACCGCCCCCTGAGCGAAGAGAGCATCCGGAGAGATCGACCTCCTGCTTAGCGAGGAGAACGTCCGGAGAGATCAACCCCCGCTGAGCGAGGAGAACGTCCGGAGAGATCGACCTCCCGCTGAGCGAGGAGAACGTTCGGAGAGATCGACCTCCCGCTGAGCGAGGAGAACGTCCGGAGAGATTGACCCCCGCTGAGCGAGGAGAACGCTCGGAGAGATTGACCCCCGCTGAGCGAGGAGAACATCCGGAGGGAATGACCCCCGCTGAGCGAGGAGAACGTCCGGAGAGATTGACCCCGCTGAGCGAGGAGAACGTCCGAAGAGACTGACCCCGCTGAGCGAGGAGAACGTCCGGAGAGATTGACCCCCGCTGAACGAGGAGAACGTCCAGAGAGATTGACCCCCGCTGAGCGAGGAGAACGTACGGAGAGATTGACCCCCGCTGAGCGAGGAGAACGTCCAGAGAGATCGACCCCCCGCTGAGCGAGGAGAACGTCCGGAGAGATTGACCCCCGCTGAGCGGGGAGAACGTACGGAGAGATTGACCCCCGCTGAGCGAGGAGAACGTCCGGAAAGATCGACCGCCGGGAGCGGACTTCAGCAGCTGAAGCAGCCACGTCGGTAAGGGCAAACGACGCTTGATCCCGTCTGGGCAGGCATAGCTACAACTCTCCACCCACGTGTGGTATAATATCGTCCGCCCAAGGAAAGCGTTCGGTCACC